GAAAAAAAAACAACTTTCATATTTCCAAAATAGTGTTCAATGGTTACTCCAAGCTTCTGCATTACCAAATAAGTGTAGATTGACTACTACAATAAAAAAAATTAATTTTGATAATTCTCTAGGCAGATGTTCTATTTTGAACAATACCACAAGTTCAGATCCATTCCATACGCAAAAACTACCAACACAGAAAAAAAGGGATCAACATTTAATTCAATGAGAGTTGTAATATCCCGTCACGGCAGAATCAGCACTCGCAATTTTTGATGGAGTAATTTGGGATATAATCTTTGAGTGTAAAAGCTCGTTCATTTTCCTTGCTCTTGATAAAAAAATAAACAACAGAAGTCGAGAACAAGAAAGTTTGGTAACTTCCGAAGCTGTAAAGTTCAGAAAAGTGTTTTTTTTAAAAGCAAATTTACTTTTTTTTTTTGCCTTTGCATGGTTTCACCTTGATGCAACGCATGCAAGAGAAAAAAATTGGCTCCAAACATTTTTTAGTGAATGAAAGTTTCACATAAAGTGTTTTCTGGTTCTCACATAGAACATCTGGTGATGACGACCTAGACTATTAATAGGAAGCAGGAAAAATTGTTATGCTTAAGTTGCAGGTTTGAACCCCAGTCCTGTGTCAGGATTCAACTTGATGCTCTTGGGAAAGAAACTTAAATTCATTTTATAACCTAATATAAATTTCTTCACTTCAAGCTAGTGGGAATAAATTATAATGGGCAAAGGGATGATTATAAGATGTGAGAGATTTGATCTTGTTATACGTGAGTGAGAGCCAATGAAATAAAACATCAGGGTAACAATTTGTAAACCACAGCAGAGATCCTACTTTTAATCTTAACTTTAACACTATCCGTACATCGTGTTATACTATCGTATCCTATATGACGTGGGGAACTCTGCCACCACTTCCAAAGAGGGAATTTACTCCTTAATCCGGTCCGTACACTTTGCGTAGCAGTCTGTCAAAATGATTTCTTGAAAAGTACTGAAAGTTTCAAAGAGATCTTCGTACTAGAAGTATTCTAAAATGTGGAAAAATACAACCCCAGTGGTACAAAATGACCCCAGGGCGTACGATAGGGTTAAAGTAGGCCTAAAATATTAGTCTCAGACTCAAATTACTAAATTTTATGCATTCCTTTTTTTTTGTTTTTGTTTTTAGTTCAACAAGGAACTGTAGATATGCAAAGAGATCAGGAATCTAGAACTAGATCTACTTAATAGGTTCTCAGCCATGGGTTAGCTTGGCATTAGCCTACTTTTTTAAAAAGAGAATTTAGATCTACAGGCTAGTCTAGAATCTAATCTGAATGATATTGAAACATTTCTTTTCTATAGTTTAGGCGTAGGGTAGACCCCCAAAGCAATGGTAAAGGCACTAAAGGACGCTTTTCCCCACATTTACCAATGGTACAGCATATTGTTATTCTTTTCTTTTTACGCTTGACTGTCTGTCTGCTAAAACTAAATCCGTTGGTCATTGCACTGCAGACAACGCAGACAAGAAGAACCTGGACAAAGATCTAGAGTGTAGACGTAGACGTAGTAGTGTAAACAGAGCAAAACAATAACATCTTTAACTCTGTACCAACAAAAATCATGTTGAACTGGTCAGAACAATCGAGGATCAGAGGTTTAAATCATCTGAAAAGTTTCAGATATCAGCGAAACATGTACACATCTCATTTCATAGCCCGAGAAAAAAAAATCAAATTACACCGAACGAAACGTTTCGAGTCCTGGCCCTGCCTGGCGAACTGACACAGCTCTGTTCTTACTGTGGGTACTGGTACACAGTACAGCTAATTCAGGAAGGTTGCCTGACTAAAGTTGATAAAAACTTGGGACAGATCTATACTTTGGGGTTTACACTTTGCAACGTGTCACATTCAAAATCATCGGCACAAGGAAAGAATACAAGCAATAATATCCATTTCACATGTTGAAACACTTCGTGCTTACCGCAACAACACACGGCTTCCTTCTTTTTCCCACACCCTGTTCTCACACCACCGCAGGCATGTAGCATCAGACAGCGCGGCGAAAACCGAGGTGTTCTATATTTAGAACTGCCCTCTTCACTAGTGGAAAGTTTGCAAAGTGGCTTTTAGAATGAAATCCGTGCGCGATATAATTCAGCAGCCGCTGGTACTAATTCTTTTTATTTTATCACAGCTTCATTTAACACTGTCAGGGACATAAAAAGTTATATTGAGCTTGCGTGGGTATCAATTGTGTGTCGGTAACACTAGTTGTTCAAATGAAGTAACAGCTAAAATTTCCCCTTCCTCCCCCTACCCTTGTTTTCAGTCAGAGTTAATGAAATGAATATGTATATAGGTCAGGGAGATATTGTTGATCAGATTTAGTTTAAAAAACAGCCTAATATGATATCAACTAGCAGTGTGTTGTAAGGTACGCCTGGTTCTAACTGTTAACAAATCAGGCAAAATGTTTTCCAGCTTGTACTATGTGACTGAAAGTTCTTGAGGCAGGGCAACGTCTCAACACTGTTTTCTGTGTCAGTAGGCCAATGACCCAATTATCCAATTTAAACGTCATTTCCTGAAATCATTTGCCAACTTGCCCTTTCAGAGACTAAAGTAATTTCTGGCCTAGGCAGGGATGTTATAATACAACTATCCAAGGAATTTGTTGTAAGGTCCTTGGGCCTAGGCCTAGGATTTCTCAGTTCCCTTTGAATGGTAACACCTTTCTTGTAACACCATTTTCCAAGCAGAAAACCGTCGCAACTACAGCAAGATACCTCCAGATTCATACACAGTTTGTTGTAGTTTTGTTTTTTGTTTGTGTTTTTTTTCTCAATCACAAACATGTAGGCCTACTGTCATTGTTACCATGAACATAAAAGGGAAACAAACGAAAAAAAGATGGCTTGGGAGAGTGGTGATGGGGAGGGGGTATATTATGTATCACCAAAATGTCCCTATACTCATTTCCTTATGATGATCAAGAAATATAACGTCCTAAGAAAGATTGTTTCCGAAAATTTGGCTTATAAGCAAATAGTCAATGTTAACTTTGATTTTCTTAGCCATTACATGATGTCTACCCTTTTGAAATGGTGTCTTTGCTCAATATACTGATAGATCTACAGTCTTTTCGTTCAGACGGCATGCGGTAGATACGCAGGGCAACTGCTCCAGTATGATATATATTATAGGCCTACGCATATCCTCGAACCCTCCAGTAATTAAACAGCTGAGTGAAACAGCTGTGTGCTCGCCCCGACAGCCTTCGGAGTCTTAAATTCTTCTCTTGTGCTTTCCATGGTTATCTCTAAATGTGAAGAAATCAAAATGCATGGTAATATCTAAATGTATCTAAATTTTAAAAAGCAAACAACCATAATATGTAACCGCAAAAGTGAAAGATTTTAAAAGGTTCAACAGTTTCATATTATATCTTGGCGATTGGCCTATATCATTACCTCCGAAGCTAAATGTGCCGCAGAAATAAAACTAACTATTGTAATAGCTATGACAGTTCAAGCAAAATGAGTCCAATCCTGGAAAACAGAAACATCTCATGCATCTCAATGACAACCAAAATAAGCGAGTAATAATTAGGTGACGAGTGTTCAATATTTCTATATAGCAGTGGATGCTGGACAGTTACCATAGTTGAAATAAACTTGAAGCAACAGAAGCGTGATTCCCATTCTAAAGAGGCTTACTGTTGCTTATTTCATAGAAAAAAAAATAATAAAATGATGTGACGATCGAAGAGCTGAAAAATGAAAATTGCCCAAGTATGTCGCCCACTAATTTAAAAAAAAAAAAATTAGGAAGAGATATATGCAGTTTTCTCGGACACCTAAATAGATATGTATAATAAGGCCTTGCACATCTTGCAGCTTTCACTGGAAAAAAGAAAGGTAAAATAGACATCGGTAGACCAAGAATAAATGACTTAAAGAGCTGAATGGATGGGTGAACGCGACAAACCAAGACACCAGTTTGTTGTTGTTGTTGTTGTTGTTGTTGTTGTTGTTGTTGTTGTTGTTGTTGTTGTTGTTGTTGTTGTGTGGGGGGGGGTGGTAGCCTATCCGTTCGAAATGTTTGGAGCCTCGAAGAGCGTGCTCTTCGCCAGGGCCACCGCCTCCCTTGGGTAGCGGTTGAGGCAGTCCAACCTCCCTGAATCCTCCCCGATGAGATGTCACAGCCGGATGTTGTTGTTGTTGTCGTTGGTGGTGGTGGTGGTGGTAGTGGTGTGTTGTTTGTTTGTTTTGGAGGGGGGGGGGTATTTCTTGATGGGTTTTTTAAAAGAGAACCCGAACAGAGACAGGAGTGGCAAACCATGACTACCGACCTCTGTTTCCGATCTGGCTCTCTAGGAAAATGATGATGACTTCAGTGATTTACAGACGATGTATGCCTTCACACAAACGACATAAATCGTTTCTACCTTGCATGCCAGCGAGCAAAGACCAAAGGGCAGGGACTCACTTAGGAAATGCTGTTGGTGGGTGGCGTTTCTCTGACCGCCCACAGGGAACAGGCCCCTCAGAGACTCATCAGCTGCTTTAAAGGCGCTTGTATAAACTATGGCCTGGCCACCAATATCAAGACGACCAATGTCATAGGACACTAAGCCTACAAGTGTACCAAACATTTCCATTGGTGACTTTACCCTCGAAGTAGTCGGAAAAAAATATCACTTATTATAGTTCAGCTCCATTAACCCAAACAACCAGTGTTTTGGATGCGGAGCGAACCAGGAGAATCGGCAAAACATTAGCAGCAATGACTCGCTCTTATGACTGTCAATACAGTCAACACCAAGAAGATGGTTCATCAAGCCTGCGTGCTGATCTTGTTGCTTTGTGAACCCTCAGCGCCTGAAAGGAGCGCAAACTTCATATCTTTCAGAAAGATCTTGGGAATCACATGGTAGGTCTGCATCCCAAACAGGGCCCCGACGTTGTGTCCTTGGAAAAGGCAGTTTACACGAGTTTTCCTCACTTCACCCAGGTGGGAATAGGTACCCGGCTATAGACAGCGAAAGATCTTGTCAGTTTGTTAGTGTTTGAACGCTTAATCGGCTGCTTGCACTGTATGCTTCCTGGGAAGCTGAGAATGTTTCGGAGTGTTCTGTGGTCTGCTGGGGTAATAATATAGTGTAAAGCGCATAGGGCCTGCTGTTGAGCGGGGATATGCGCTATACAAATGCTATTTATTCTTATTATAAGATTTTTCTTGACGACGGCGGGCATTCGCAAGCTCAAACACACAAGCTGGATAGAAGATGGCCACCATTTTTCTCAAGGACATACTCTATGGTTCAAGTTTGCTATTAGGCTCCGCAGCTGCTAGAGACAGACAACTTTTAAAATGTATATTATGTTTTTACGCCCCCAATTGACACAATTTAGGTATTTAGGACGCAGACTCCCGAACCTGGTACAAAAATGAAATGGATTAATAACTGCTGAATGAACCAAGAAGTGAAAGTGTTAGTGAATGAAGGCAACAGCAGCGGTGAATCATTTTCAGAATCTTCAGAGTCATGCGAAAATAAGTTAATTCTTTGTCTATGGTATCTTCCTTTCTTATTTGAAAAAGTTATCAGTAAAGCGCCCGACTTTCACCTGGAGCGCGAGGGGAAATAATAATAAGATTTGCGAAAGCAGCAAGATTAACATTGCTTACGCCCCGTTGGTACTGCAGAGTTGGCTTTCACCTCAGCCGTGGCTTAATAAACATCATGTTCGTGGATGAAATCAGAGTGGTATTTATTGGAATACATAGAATTTTTTTTTTTTTTTTTTTGGGGGGGGGGGGGGGGTTGAAAATACAATTAATTCAATAACAGGCTGATTAAAGATGCCTGCAACTACGCAGGGACGCTATAGACCCATGCCCTGCTCTTCTCTCTTGGAATTAAATCTACTAGAAGTAGAAAGGGTGTTTGGACATCAAAAGGCCTTAATATAGGTATTTTTTCGCGTTTGATTCATAATATTATAGCTGTCACTGATAGTGACAGAGATGAAGGACAAATATTTGTTAAAATCGAATCACCCCATTCGCTTGACTGTGGATATAAAAGCGTTGAGAAAAAAAGATTTACAAAAAGCCATATTAGACCCCCCCCCCCCTCCAAGTAAAATAGTATTGGTACTACTAGAAGACATAATAAAATGGGCTCTGATGATCAGATCAAGCACTTGATGGTTCGCCGAAGGGTAACAATAATAATATAATATTAATAAGATGAATTGTCGGCACAAATAGTGCATAGAGGGGGGCCCCCAACCTTGCCTGTATAAGCTTTGCCAAATGAGCGACAAGCTACAGCATGAGAATCGTTCTTTCTGGTTGCATGTCTATTCCTTGAAGACGTCCTCAAAATCTGAAAGGGTCGTCTTACCCATGAGAGTGAAATTAATTTACTGTCTTTGTATTATTAAAATCACTTTATCAATGGGCTATCACTGACCAAATTAGCCAAGAGCTTTTAAAGGCATCAAAGCCTTTTTGTCTTTACCACGCCAAGCGTAAAAAATCTGGCAATCAGGTCATTCATTACATGACCATCCTTCCCCGTGAATGGTAAACAAACTGATACTGTTGAGCTATCGGTTGACGACAACTGCTAGCAAATTGGGAACCTCAACGTGATAAGGTAAGCAAAGCTAAATTTTGTTGAATAGCTTAGATATGAAACTACTGGATACTAGTGCCATATGTGTTGACTAAGGAAGGGTTATACCAACTGATTCCTGAAGGTAACTTACTAACACGCTGTTTGCAGTGGCCTTTTTTTGTCTTGCTCTTGATAAGGTGGGCTCGACTATCTCTGTCTAAACTGATTAATCCTACTCAAATCATTGTTTTCACTTTTTTGTATACATGGAATCGTTTCTCAAGGTTGAAACGATTTTTGGGGAAGATTGAAGAATACCGGACCACTCGTAAACTTTATTGCGCGAGAATGTGGGGTAGGTGGGACGGGTAGTCAGTGGTTGGGGTGGAAGAGGGGTGTCTCCCCCCTGACAAATTTTGAATGAATAGATCTACTGGTCCCAGATTCTCCATTGAGAGATATTAAAAACTGGGGAAAATCATGAATTCCTAAGGTTGAGACCTAGGCAAAGTCAGTCCGCTTGTCCGGTATTCTTCAATCTTACTGATTTTTGTTTTCGAAGTGACTATTTCTCCGAAAGTTAGGGAAAATAAAGCTGAACTCTATTTCTCTGAACGATTTCCGATCTCGAGACTTTTTGGGTTATTTGCTAGATTTAGGCGTCATCCTTTCATTCTGCCATTCTGCAAGGACTGGGAAGAAGCATTTTTTGCATCAAATTCAATTTCTAGAGCTAGAGATTTTTAAATGTCTGAATATTCAGATACTTCAGTTGTGGTTGGGACAACGTTCCCAGACTATACTTCATTTGAAAATACCTTCAAAGGGTACAGC